TGCGAACCATCCTTCCGACGATGCCACATACGGCACGACCCGCAATGAGGCTCTTCATAGGCAGCTGAAGGCGTTTCTATAGGAACACGATGTTCCAGACTCGTCGGCACGCGAATTGCGTTGCCAACGCTGTGGCGATGTACAAGGATCCTGTAGGGCACCACTCGGAGTGGGGCTGGTCCCAGTTGCATCGGATCGCACTCTGAATTCAGTATGATCCGAATACGTAGAATGGTAGCGGACCCTAGATCCAGAAAGTTTTAAGTATGATGGCAACACGGTCCCAAAACACATGCTGGAATGTAGCAAATACCATCCCGAGAACACCTCAAATTAGTATATACGATTCACGAGGAAACGGGAAGGCGGGTATCGTAATACATTGAAAGGGGGGAGAGGGACAGGATGATAAAGAGAGGGAGAGAACAAGAGAGAGAGAGAGAGAGAGCGAGAGAGAGAGAGAGAAAGAGAGAGAGAGAGAGAGAGAGCGAGCGACAACGCGATAGAGAGAGAGAGAGAGAGAAACCAACTATACTATAAATATATATAGAAAAGAGAAGAAGAAAGAGAGAGAGAGAGAGAGCGAGAGAGAGAAAGAGAGAGAGAGAGAGCGAGAGAGAGAAATAAAGAGAGAGAGAGGAACACATAAAGAAATACATATATAGATAGAGAGAGAGAGAGAGAGAGAGAGAGAGAGATAGAGAGAACGAGAGAGCGCGAGAGAGAAGGAGAACTCAGACAGTCCCACATTATCCCTTCACGGGGGGGAAAGGAGGGGCGGCGGTGCGAAAATAAACAGGTCGGGACAGGGGGGGGGGACCGAGCTGCTGGGGGGCAGTGGGGAGAGGGGGCGGGGGCGGTGCCCTGCGGGGTGGGCGGGGACGGGGGGGAGGCAAGGTAGGCGACGCGACAACGCATTTGCCGTGGCAGAGGGGGCACGGGGCTTCCAGAGGGCAGCGGGGGGAGGGGGCGGGGGCCGTGTCCTGCGGGGAGGGGGAAGGGGGCTGGGGTGGGGCGGCGCGAACACGGAGTGGTCGGTGCGGAGGGGGCTGCTGGGGTGCTGGGGAACAGCGGGGCGAGGGGGCGGGGGGGGAATCCTGCGGGGAGAGGTGGATTGGGGGGGGCGTTGCGAAGCGAAGATGGTCGGGGCGGCGGAATGAGAATCTGGGGGACATTGCGGAGAGAGGCGGGGGCGGTGCCCATCAAGGAGGGGGGGGGCGACGCGAAAATAAAACTGTCGGGGCGGAGGGGGCACTGGGCTGCTGGCAGACAGTGGGGAGAAGGGCCGGGGCGGTGTCCTGTGGTGGGAAGCGGGGGTGGTGCGCACAGGGCACGACGATGCTGGGGAACAAGTGGGCTGCGGGTGAACAATGGGCTGCTTGGGGGCGGGGAGTGGGAGGGGGCCGCGTTGCGAAAGTAATGAATGGTGGGCTGCGTGGGAGCGGGGGCGGGAAGGGGGGACGGTGCGACAATAATGTGGCCGTTGCGGAAGGGGCACGGGGCTGTTGGGGTGGAGCGGGGAAACGGGGCGGGGGCGTTGCCCTGCTGTGGGGAGGGGAATAAATGGTCCGAGCTCTGGACGCCGTGCGCAAGATAATACTATATTTCATTGCGGAAAATGCCCCCTATTGAAAACCAGCCGTCTGAGAATCCCCAATCTTCCCAAAACGCAATTCCTGGGTTTTCGATGCCGCGAATCAATGTGACTATTGCATCCTGACAATCCTAGATCGTGCCATAACATCATTCCCAGAACGCCAACATCGCGAATCACCGTGACTGTTCTGTCATGGCAATCCGAAGCTGTGGCACGCCATCGTTGAGCCTTCAACCCTAGGGTCCTTGAAACTGTTGGAAACGTTCAAGACCAAAGAGCGCGGCGCCAGAAAGACAGCGCTACAATTTGAAAACCAACCGTGCTCCACACCTGGAGCGGCTGAAAGCTTTGCAACGAAAGTACGCGGCACCCGAGCGAGCATTACATGTTGAAAGAGACCCGCCCTCCATCCTTCAAGCTGTAGCGCACTTTTGCAGCGAGTGCGCGCGGCGCTGAAGCGGGAACAGCGTTTTGAAAACGGACCGCCGTCCATCCCTGAAGCTGCTGCAAATATTTAAAACGAATGTGCGCGGCGCGGCAAGAAGAGCGCCACCTTGTGAACACGGCCCAGCCTCCATCCTTGAAGCTACATGTGAACCGAGTGTGCACGGCGCTGCGGGAAGAGCAAACTTGGAAAACCGGCCTGGCCTATATCCTTGAAGCTGTTGCAGACTTGTAAAACGAATGTGCGCGGCGCGAAATTGTGTGCGACATTTTCAAAGCAGCCCACCATACATCCTTGAAACTGTTGCGAACTTTTATGACGAGTGTGCACGGCGCTCAAGGAAGAGCAACCTTGAACAACAAACCGCCTCGCCTCCGGAGGAAGAGGGGCAGGAGGAGGGAGGGGGAAGGGGGAAGGGGACTTGTCTGATATCGCGCGCCCGCGTCCTCCCCGCCATCAGAATTGTCAGTGTGGGGATGCTCGAGAGCACGCTCGCGCCACCCGGAGCCCAGGCCTCCCAAAACGCCCGCCTCGCCTGCGCCTCGGGGGACACCTCTTCCTCCGCCTCCGAATGCTGCTGGACATTGTCGCTTAGCACGTCGCGGCTGCGGTCACGGCGACACGCTGTGGCCTTCGCGCTGATGGCGTGTCGCTTCGCTCCGCGGGCGGGAGGCCGGGAAAGACTCGGGGCGCTGACGCTCGGAAGCGGAGGAGGGGGAGGGGGACGAGGAGGAGGAGGAGGAGGAGGAGGAGGAGGAGGAGGAGGAGGAGGAGGAGGAGGAGGAGAGGAGGAGGAGGAGGAGGGAGAGGAGGAGGAGGAGGAGGAAGAGGAGGAGGAGGAGGAGGGGGAGGAGGAGGAGGAGGAGGAGGAGGAGGAGGAGGAGGAGGAGGAGGAGGGGGACGCGGTCGGCGTGCCGTGCCGAGGCGCCGTGGGTCGGAGCCGGCGGCGCGACGCGCGGAGCCAGAGCTCCCGGCCGCGGCCCCCTGCGAAGGGTGCCGCGACCGGCGGCGCCTCGGGGCGCGGTCGGGGCACGCGGGGAATCTGCGGGAACAAAAGCACACACACAGAAGCACACAGCAAAACACACAGTGTTTTTTTGCCCCCCAGAGTGCGTCTTTTTCCCCACAGTGTATGTTTTTTCCCCACAGTGTGTGTGTTTTTCCCTACAGTGTGTGTTTTCCCCACGTGTGTGTTTTTTCCCCACAGGTCGAGACAGCACGTCGCGTCACGCGCGGCGGCGCCGCCGCGTCGCATAGACGGGGGCCTCGCTCCGGGATCGGCGGCGTCCCGCGCACCTGGCGAGCCCGGAGGGCCGCCGTGCAAGCAGAGCGCGCGCGGCGAGGACGCCATGTTATGCGTGGACGCCCAAGTTGGAACTTTTGAGCGGCGCGCGGCAACAATCCCAAGGACGCAAGGACGACTCGTCCAGCCGACCCCCGTCCTTGCCGAGCGGGCGCCGTGGCCAACAACAAGAAGGACAACGCAAAGGCGCACGGGTGCCTTCAACATTTGCCCTTTCCCTCTGGACATGGTGTCCAAGGACGTCCAAGAGAACCCCTGCAGCGTCAACGTCCGTGGGGCCATCGGCCTGCGAGTGGGAGGACGGCCGAGGGCGGAGACGACGCGCCAAACGACGGCCAGCGAAACTCTGCCTTGCCCGCGTCCTGAGGGCTCTCGCGCCACGCTCTCCACGGACGCCGCCAGGTCCCAAAGGTACCCCGAGAAGCTGGTTAGCGAAAGCGGCCACTGGCCATCGCTCGGACGTCCATTCCCTGTTTTTGTTTTTCGGTTTCGTGCGTGGTTTTTTCGCAGGATGGTCCAGGATGCTCCTGACTAACCCCCGCCGAGAAAGAGTGCACACGTCCGAGCGATACCAAGGCTACGGACGGGCCGAAGGGGCAAGGACGCAAGCGCACCCTTGGAGAGGTAGCTGTAATGAGGATGAAGATTGACAGTCATCGTGCTCTCGCGCGCGTGCATCGCCTCGGGCAGGCACCGGCAGCCGCGGCAAGCGTGGCCGCCCGCAGCTGGCCCTGGGGCCTGCCGCGAGAACGGTGTCGCGCGCGGAGCAGCCTCGAGCCATCAGAAGGGGCCGCCGCAAGCATCCTTTCTTAGCTGGTGGAGCAGCCACCAGCACGGTCCAGGCACCGCCGTGGGTGTGCTCTCATGCGCGGAGCAGCTTCCTCCAGGGCCAAGACGACGACGTCGACGACTTCGACGACGACGACGACTTCAACGACGACGATGACCTTTTCCTGCGTCTTCGGCAGAAGACCGGGTGCGGCGGATCCACCGCTTCCGAGGCGTGCCCACAGATCGCTTTCCTTCCCCTCCGCCCGTTCCTTTGTGGACGTTCTGGCACTGTTCGGGCCTCCGCAGGCGTATGGAGACCTCCCTCCCTCACTCCCTTCCTCCCTCCCCCCCCTCCTTCCCCCACTCGCAGGAGGAGGAAGAGGAGGAAAAGGAGGAGGAGGAGGAGGAGGTCGAGGAGGAAGGAAAGGATCTTGGGATGAGCAGGAGGAGGGGGAGGCAATAACTAGGGTCGTGTTGTAGGGCGCGTGCCTACACCGCTAAAAGAAAACCGTTATACGATCATCCTCCCCCTCCCTCCCTCCCTCCCTCCCTCCTCCTCCTCCTCCTCCTCCTCCTCCTCATCCTCCTCCTCCCGCCTTCCTCCTCCTCCTCCTCCTCCTCCTCCTCCGCCCCCGCCTCCTCCTCCTCCTCCTCCTCCTCCTCGTCCCTCTTTCCTCCCTTCCTCCCTCCCTTCTCCTCCTGCCTCCTCCTCCTCCTCCTCCTCCTCCTCCTCTTCCTCCTCTTGCTCCTCCTCATTCTCCTTCTCCTGTCTCCACCGCTGGTTATTTACATACGCTGGCTGGCCAGAGCTGCATCTGTGGGGCATGAGTGTCATCTGGATCATCCAGCAAATCTGGGTGATCATGGTCTCCATCATCACCAATGGGGGAGGGGTACAAATTGTGAGGAGGGCAGGGTGGGGCGCACAGGGGAAGAAGATGAATGGGCAGGATGAGGAGCATGATGATGTGGCCAAGCTTTTCTTCGAGTGACTACACTTCCCCGCGAATGCTCACATCGACCTATACTAGCTCCTGGCAGGTTAAAAGAGTTCATGCGCTGTGCTAGTGCGAAGGAACAATCGGAGGACCGAGGGAGGACGAAGCCGGAAGAGGGACTCTATACCAATGAGGAGGGATCCGCCGACCCAGTCGGCCTGTGTGAGGGGGAGTTCTGGGCCAGTCGTCCAGGGGCGGTGCTGGGAGACGCTCGTTGAATCGAACTTGCTCCTCCCTTCCCTGGGCCACCTTTTTCCCTCCAGGCTCGCCAACCCGAGGTGACTCGAGCCAGGTCTCAATGGAGTCGAAGGGAAGCCACTTCCCTTGAATCTAGTCCCTTCCCCGCGGGGGGTTCCCGCGGGGGGGGGGGGCAGAAGGCGCCACTTCCCATTCCCCTTTAAAGCCATCTTCTGGCCAAGACTGCCCTCCTTCGGCAACTTCGATCCAAGACGCCCGAGGTGGCCCCAAGACGGCTCAAGAGGCCTTCAAGATGGTCCAAGAGAACTCCCGTGAGGTAAACATGTTATCATTTGCAACGGGCATTTGAAACATTTAGCGTTTCGCCTTTTCTTGTCTCTGACGCTCCAGTACGGCCCAAGAGGCCCCCGAGATCACCCCCAAGACGGCCCAAGGAACCCCAACGAGGGCCACAAGACGGCTCATGAAGGCCACAAAACGGCCCCCAAGATGGGCCACGAGGGGGGGTGCGCGAACTGACAGTTCGAGTTCTCCGCCCCAAGATGACGCCCGAGACCGCCAGCATGCCGCGAAGAGGTCTCCACGATGCCCACAGGAGGTCCCCAAGAGGCTCCGAAGAAGTTCAAATAAGCCTCCCAGGAGGCCCCAACAGGCTCTCAGGAGTCCTCCAAGAGGCCTCCGAGAGGAACGCCAATATGCCCTCATATGCATTCAAAAGCCCCCTCTGGTCCACGACACAGGCACGGTGGCGGGATGGGCAGAAGGCCACTAGATCCGCCGCCCCCTGTTGCTTTCGAAAAAGGGGGTTAGGTAGTTGTGCCCAACCCTCATGTGATGGACTCTCGTTTTGAACTGAGCACTGTGCTCTCCGTCCTTCTTCCTCCTCCCCCACTCCTCCTCCTCCTCTTTCTCCTCCTCCTCCTGCTCCTCCTCCTCCTCGCGGCTCCCTGGGGGGCTGCGAGCTGTGCAACTGTCGCCACTTCTGTGGTCTCCTGAGGTTTCGTGGGCTCCTCGGAGGCTGGGCGGAGTAGGGTTTCACGCGCACCTCGCCGCGATCTCGCGCCGTTCCCTGGGGTCTGCCACTCGCGCAGCTGTCGCAAGTCGTGGGCTCCGGGGAGGTCCAGCGGGGTGGAGGGCCACGCACACCCAGGCGAGACCTCGCGGCGCCCAGGGGGGCTGCAAACTGCGCAGCCGTCGCCACCTTTGTTGTGGGCTCCTGGGAGGTCCCGCGGAGTGGGGTCCTCTACGGTTGTGGATGCCATGACGATGGACACTCTAACAATCCTATCGTTGAATCAAACATGTGTTGTCAATGTGTAAAACATGTTCAAACAATGTTTCAAACATTTTCTAAACCATATTTATAACATGTTTGAATACTTTTTAGACAGCCGGAAATTATTTGGCAGCATGCTTCCTCTCCATTAATCGACTTCCACAACCCGACGGACCTGGACTAGCGTGGCTCCGTGGGGGGGCTACGAACAGCGCAGCTGCCGCGACGTTCGTGGGCTCCCAAAAGGCACGGCGGGGTGCAGGGCGGCGCAGATCGCGCAGACCTCGCGATGTGCTCATTTGTTGTATGGCGCACTCACACAAAGAGTCACCTCGCGTGGAGAAGGGGTTGGGTACATCTCGAGCAGGCTGAACCTAAACGGTTTTTTGTTCGCTTGCGTTTTGTTATAATTTTCCCTCGTTTTGTCTTCAATCCGCCTTTACCGCAAAACGAACTCGAAACGAACACGGCACACGAAATCGCAAAACCACCGTTTAGGTCCAGCCCTGATCTCGAGCAAATTGTTCTTTGTGTCCATTCCCACGGGTCTTCGGCCAAACCCATCAGCCACCCAGAAGGGCGCTCAAGGAGAGCAGCAAAGGAAGACTCGCATCCACGAGGACCCGTCACTTTCTCAAGCCGTCGGTCTTCCCGCTCCAGAAGGCCGTAGGAGGGCCTCCAAGACGGCCGAGATGGTCTCCAAGACGGCTGCGATGGCCCCACGAGGGCTCAAGATTGCCCCAAGACGGGCCAAGATGCCCCCAGCAGGGGCCACGATGGCATCAGAACCGCCCAAGAGGCCTCCAAGAGGACCTCTAGGAAGGCCCGCAAATGTCAAAATTATTGGTTACAGTGCGGGCGCGGCCGCAAGAAACCCTCGCAAGAAACCCAACCCTGAAAACCCGTGCGCGAGGTACACCCGAGGGGAAGCCCGGAATACCCTGAACGCAGGAGCTCCTTCCACGGCTGCGGGAAGTCACCGCGTAGCGCGAGGAGCGAAGAAACCCAGGGTACCCTGACGAAAAGCAGATGGCTTCTTGATGCGCGCCCCCATTGGTTACTAGAGGTATGTGAAGGATCTGGGCGTCTGCTCGTGTTCGGCTTTCTCCGACGGTCCAGGGCGGGCGCCAGAGGCCACCCCAAGATGGCCCTCCACGAGCGCCTGGGGGGCCCCCTCGGAGGGCCCGTCCGACGGCCCCAAGGAGTCCCTCAAGAGGGCCCCCGAAGAGGGCCCCAGGACGGCCCAGGAGGCCTCCAAGACGCCCAAAAGATGGCCTCCAGGATGGCCCTGGAGCGCTCCAGGAGGGCCCCAGCTTGGCCCAGAGAGGCCCCAAAGGACGGCGTCCGCCTCCAAAGGCCCCGCAAGAGGCCCAAAGAACCCCCCAGGAAGCCTCCAAGAGGCCGCTAGGAAGCTCCCAGGAGGCTCCACGAGTGCCCCAAGAGACTCCCAAGAGGCCTCCTCCTCCTCCTCCTCCTCCTCTTCCTCCTCCTCCTCCCTCCTCCTCCTCCTCCTCCTCTCCCTCTTCCTCCTCCTCCTCCTCCTCCTCCTCCTCCTCCTCCTCCTCCTTCATTGTCCTTCCTCTTCTTCTTCGTCTTCTTCTTTCTTCTTCTCCTCTCCCCACGCATTCATCGAATGGCTTCCACTGCGGCTGGGGGAACGCACAGTCCGACGGCTTGGCCGAGCTCTGGCCGCAGCGTTCGGCCACGTGGGGCGCTTCCGGAAGGCATGGGGCGGCGGCCATTCGCAGCAGGCGCCCTCGATCCGCCGCCACCTGGTGGCTTGCCACGCGTGCGCACGGCGCGCCGCATGCTGGGCGGCGTTGGTCATTCCTCCTCCTGGTCCTGCTCCTCCTTCTGCTCCTGCTCCCGCTCCTGTTCCTTTCCCTTCACCTCCTCCTCCTCTCCCTGCTCCTCCTCCTCCTCCTCCTCCTCCTCCTCCTCCTCCTCCTCCTCCTCCTCCCCCTCCTCCTCCTCCTCCTCCTCCTCCTCCTCCTTCTCCTCGGCCGATCGCGCCGGAAGGCTGGGAGCAACCGAAAGGGCAGCCCGAAGTGACCCGCAGGCTGCCCTGGCCGACTGGAAGTGGCACAACGCCCGCCACCAAGACGGCCATGATGGCCTCCGATGGCCTCAAAGTCGGCCCACGATGGTCCAGGATGGCCTCCAGGACGCCTTCCAAGACGGACAGGATGGCCCCAAGACTGCCCACGATGCCCTCCAGGCGGCCCAAGAGACCCCCAAGACGCCCCAAGAGGGCTTCAAGAGGACCTCCGGAGTGCCAAACGCATGTCTTGGCCGTAGGTTTCTAAATGAGTCTAGCGTTCTCGCCTGTTCGGGCCTCCGATGCTCCACGAAGGCCCCAGAAGCTCCGATGATCACCCCAAGACGTCGCAAGAAGCCCTCAAGAGGCCTGCAAGACGGCCCATATAAGGCCCCCAAGGCGGGCCCAGGGCGGCCCCACACAGATCTCCACGACGGCCCTCGGGCGCCCAACGTGGGGCCCACGCGACGGACTCCCGCATGTTCCATCCACTCCAGCCTCCCCTGCACCGGGAGCCCCGTCGGGTGGAAATGTCGGCAAACGGCTGGCAAATTCATGAATTCGCTACGCGCGCCCAGGGGGACCCACGACTGCCCCGAGAGGCCCCCAAGGCGGCCTCCGACGGCCAAGAGGTCCCTTAGAGGCTACCAGGAGCCCCCAAGGGGCCCCCAAGAGACTCCCCAAGAGGCCCCCAAGAGACTCCCAAGAGACTCCCCAAGAGGACCCTCAGAGGACCCCAAGAGGCTCCTCAGAGGCCTCCCAAAGGCTCCCATGAAGCCCCCCGGGAGCCACAAGACGGCCCAAGAGGCCTCCTTTTCCTCGTCCTCCTCCTCGTGCCCATTCTCCTCCCCTCTCATCCTCGTTTCTCTTTCTCTCCCAGGTGTTCTCTCAAAGGGGCTTCGCAACGGCTGGGGGAGCAGACGGTACGATGGCGTGGCCAGACCTTGGCCCACCGCTTGCCCGCATGGGCGTTTCCAAAAGGCAGGGGGCGGCGGTGGTTCGCTGCAGGCGTCTTCGATAGAGGCGAACGCTGCGGCCAGAGCTCGGCCAAGCTATCGGACTGTTCCCCAATCATAGCTTGCCTCTGTAGGGGTCCTAGCGGATTCGTATGGTTAGGTAAGGTATGGCACCGATTTCGGCGGCACGCCCAGATGCCCGGGTGCCCGGGTGTTGCGCCGCCGACTTCCGCGGGTGCCCGGCTGCCCGGTAGCTCTATAGCCCTATAGCCCTATAGCCTTAAAGCCTTATTGCCCTATAGCTCTAATAGCCCTATAGCCCTATAGCCCTATAGCCCTATAGCCCTACAGCTCTACAATCCTATAGCCCTGTAGCCCTATAGCCCTACAGCCCTATAGCCCTATAGCCCCATAGCCTTATAGCCCTATATAGCCCTATAGCCCCATAGCCCTATGGCCCTAAAAAGATTATGGTTGGGTTTCTTCTCTGGTATCATTTCGTTAGGTGAGGTATGGCGCCGAATTCGGCGGCACGCCCGGGTGCCCAGGTGCCCGGATGGTGCGCCGCCGATTTCCGCGGGTGCCTGGCTGCCCGGGTGCCCGGGTGCCCCGGTGCCTGGGTGCCCAGGTGCCCAGGTGCCCAGGTGCCCAGGTGCCCGGGTGCCTGGTAGCCCTATAGCCCTATAGCCCTATAGACTTATAGCCTTATAGCCCTATAGCCCTATAACCCTATATTTGTACAGCCCTATAGCCCAATAGCCCTATAGACCTATAGCCTTATCGCCTTATAGCCATATAGTCCCATAGTCCTATATTTCTATAGCCCTATGACCCTATAGCCCCACAGCCTTTTAACCCTATAGCCCCACAGCCCTATAACCCTAAACATATTATGATTAAGGTTTTTCTCCGGTATCATGTGTTCTCTCAGACGTAGTGGAAACCATTCGAGGGATACGTGGGGAGAGAAGAAGAAGAAGGGGTACCTTTAGCAACCCCCGATTATCCAATCTCGAAGTGCTCTTCAAGCCGTTCTGGGAGGATCTTCGGCCTGCCTTCGTGCGCTCCCTCGGCCTCCTCGCAGGCATGGCATGCTCGTGCCGTGTGCTAAAGGGTGGAAGGATGAGGAGGACGAGGATGGAGGATGATTGGCGAGGTGGAGGATGAATGTAATGCATCAGCAGGCAGGTGGGTGGGTGATCGAAAAGCGAGAGGGCCGGAGAGGAACATTGATATAATTAGAAAGCGATGGAAGATGGAGGAGGCTGGAGGTGGGCAGCCTCATTGCTTCACGGGCTCCTTCATGGCAGCGAGGAAGCCCAGCATCTTGCCCTTCTTCTCGGATGTCAGCTGCGCTGGGGCGGCGTCAGGCTTCGCCTGGCTTGCAGCAGGAGGAAGATGAGGAGGGGGGGATGACGGGGAAGGAGGGGCAGGACGAGGAGGAGGAAGAGGAGGAGAAGGAGGAGGAAGAGGAGGAGGAGGAGGGCTCTTCGAATCCAGCTCCTCGCGGCACGCCCAAGGCCAGAGGCACAGGGCAGACCGCACGCTGCCCTTTTTCTTGTCCTCAACTGCTTCTAGAATGGACTGGGGACTTACGCGTGCAACATGGAGGAGGAGGAGGAGGAGGAGGAGGAAGAGGAGGAGGAGGAGGAGGAGGAGGAGGAGGAGGAGGAGGAGGAGGAGGAGGAGGAGGATGATGATGAGGAGGAGGAGGAGGAGGGGAGGAGGACGAGGAAGAGGATATGGAAGAGAAAACCAAGGGGGGAACGCGATCTACTGTCGCTTGACTGGGCCCCCCCTCTGGGAAAGCGGGGGGGGAGGGCTGGGGGGGAGAGGGGGGGTGGTTCGAAAACTGCTCTGATCGAATCCGGCCATTTGGGGTGGATCCAGCTCTACTAGAATCCTACAAAAGGCTCGATCAAGCACAAACATAATCTAGATTCAGGTCGAATAGAATTCTACGGTGGCTGGATCCAGCTCAAATGGATTCCTACAAAGGCTCGATCCAGCTCTAAACGAATCCTGGTGCTCGGGCTGGATTTAGCTCCAATCGAGCCCTGCGAAGACTCGATCCATCTTTAATCGAATGCCGCTATGGGCTGGATCCAACTCTGATAGGACCCTGCTCATATTCGATCCAATTCTAATGGGATGCTACTATGGTTTGGATGCAGCCGTACTGGAACCTTACTTAGTCTCGATCCAGCTTACCCTACAAAGGCTAGGTCCAGCTTTCATGGGACCCTACAGAGGCTGCTGGATCCAGCTCCAACGAGCTCTGATGCAGTCCTTACTGGGAGGGGTGGATGGCAGGGGGGAACCGTCCCCACCCCCCCGCCCCAGTTCGGAAAAAGGGGGGGGTCTCGCCCCCCTGGTTCGAACCGGGGGGGGGGGGCAGGGCGAAAGGGATCATAGTGACGCCAGACGAAGATTATATGCGATGACGCGATACGGTGAGGGCATTGGATATGGAACCCTTAGATAAGGAATCCAGGGTCTGGAAGCTGGCGGAACACCAGTTGGGGCTTGACCATGGAAATCAACGCCGCCCTTGCCAGGTAAGGAACCCCCCAGGGTCTGAAACCTCCTAGGCACATTCCTTAACGAACGCCCCCACCGTAGGGGAAATATGTGTGCCGTGGGTGAAGCGCGCGGTACGCCGGCGTCCGCACTTCGGGCGGGTTTCAGCGCGCAACCTCTCCGCGCGAGTGGGACCTGCGCGAACCCTGTGCGGACAGGGAGAGCAGGCGGGGCACGGCGCCCTCGGCAAATGCGGGCTCTTGCTATCAGTGGCGGTCGCCCGGGCCCGCGGCGCGAAGTCGAGCGGCGCCCCTCAGCTCGAATGCCCCTAAGGCCCGCGGCCAGCGTCGCGGGCGGCGCCTGCTCGCTCGCGAAGGCCACGCCGCCGCGCGTGCAGCGGGTGGCGCGCCGCAGTCGTCGAGAGGGCCTCCGCGCCGGCTCGCCGGCAGCCTGGCTTGCGCCGCCCGCTCCCCCGTGCTCGTCGCTTGCGCGCACGGGCGCCGCGGAGAAGTCGATCGCCGCGCCCGCGTCGAGCAGGGGGGGCATTTTCCCGCCGACCTTGCGCGCCCACTCTGCTCCAGAAGCCTCTCCGGCACGGCCGCGCGTCGCGCGGCGCCGACGCTGGCGCGAGTTGGCCGCGGCCCGCGCGCGCCGCCGCGTGGGAGTTCCCGAGCCAGTGGCCTCTGTGCCGCACTCGGCTGCGCAGCTGGTCGGCCCCGAACCGCGGACCTCGCCGCGTGCCGCGCTCTCGGCCCGGCAGTGCCCCAGCGGCAGGGCCACGCTCGGCCTGGAGGGCGACGCTCCGCACCCGCCGCGCCGCGCTGGGCTTCCCCGCGGCCGCCCGCGCGAGCCGTCGAAAGGAGGGCCAGGCGAAGTCCCCGCGGCACGCGACCTCCACGGCTACGACGCCGCCGGCGCCGCTGGCGTTGCCGTCGCCTGCAGTGCCCGCGCGCGCGCCAGCTCGGCCTCAGGCTTGGCGGCGGACCTGTCTGCGGAGCCGCGCGCGCCAGCACCGCCCAACAGCACCAACCAAACCATCGGGGTGATGTGCCCGCGGCGGCCGCATCGCCCCCCGCCCGTCCCGTGGTGTGGCAACGACCAGACGGGTCCAGGATGCCGTGCCCTTGCCTGCAGCGACTGCTGCGTGTCCACGTGAATCGATCGGCGCCGTGCTGCTGTTGCGCTGCCAGAGCGGAGGTTGCGAATATGGTCGCCGTCCTGAGCAGCGGGCTGCGTTGCTGCTGTGCGCATTCTCCCGGCCCCACTGCTGCTCGGGCGGATGCGATGGGGGCCTCGGTGGGGAATGGCGCGGGGGCGCGGCCGGCGCGCGCTCGACCCGCTGCGGCGGGGGGCGCGGCGACCTCGGAGCAGGCTTGCGAAAGCCGCACTTGCTGGCGGGCATCCCCGCGGCAGCCTCGCCCGCGGGAAAGGGCGGATCCTGGCCGTGGTCTGGCCAGGTGCAAAGGTTGACCAACTGCCAGTAGCTGCGGCGCTCGAACAGGTCCTGCGGCGACACTGATGACCATGTCCGAAACGACTAGGCGCTGAATAGCGCCACCCTCGCCGAAATGGCATCGTTGTCGCAGGTCGGCCTCGCGTCGCTCACCCGCGCTACTGCGCGACCAGCCTTGCGAGTGAAGGCAGCGCGCGTCGTTGGCTCCAAGACAGTGCCGCCGAACGGGCACCTCCGCGCCACCGCATCTGGGGCGGTGTCGCTGATGTGCCAGTCCCTGCGGAGGGCGTGCGCCTCTGTGTCAGCCTCGCTGCGCGGTGGCCGCGGCGTCGGCTCCTCGTCCAGCGCCGTGGGCGGCGCTTCAGGCGGTGGAGGTGCGCGTGGAGGTGCAGCTGCCGCAGCCTTGTGTTGAGGCGCAGCTGGCGCAGCCTGTCTGATCGGGCTCGCGCGCGCGAGGGGCCAGGCGTTGCGGGGCGGCGGCGACGGCGCGCGGGCGACGGAGGGCGGCTGCGAGACCGAGCGACTGGGGCCCATCGACCTCCCCGCGGCGCCAGCTGTCCCACGACTATCTTTTGGCCGTGCACCCGGGTTGTCTCCTCCAAGTGCCGTCGTGCCTCTGGTGGCGGCGGCGGCGTCGCTAGCGGCATTTCTGGCGGCTTTGCCATGGTCGGTGGTTGCGCCGTCGGGCTGCCAGGCGGAAGGGATGCAGGCCGACCACGGCTCGCGAGGTGCTGAATGGCCACTGGGTGCCGCGGCTGCCTCAATTGAGGATGGCGCCTCCGTTGGGGGCGCTGGTGGATCCTCCTATGGCTGCTGTGGCGGCGGCATCTGAGGCGGAGGAGGATTCCCCCTGCTGCGTGGCCAGCGCGCGCGGCGACGGGCGGCCGCCAGCGCGCGGCGGCGCGCGTCGGGCGCGCGCGCGCGGGACCGCCGGTGCGCGATCCACGCAGCGGGGCTCCGCGCGGCGAGGCCAGCCAGTGCGCGGTCCTGCCCGTGAAAGAAACGGCGGGCGGAACCGCCTGCTTCTTCCTCTGGTTATCCTGACAGATCCCATGTGCCTTGCGCGCGCGTGCACATGCGCGGGTGCTCCGCATGCGTCTGTATTAAAATTGACTCGCGTGCCACAGCGCGCATCCTAACCGCGGCGCGCGCGACGACTAACGCCCCGCATATGATAGGGATGAGGAAGCACATGTGGTTTGGGGGGCGGGGCGCGACGCAATTCACAAACAGGTAATTGTTAGTTGTCATGCGACGGCTGGCGCTCCTGGCCTGACCGCGCAGTGAGTTTGCCGGCCGCGTTGACTGCGACAATGCACAGCGTGGGGCCGCTGGCGAGAGCCGCGGGCTACGTCGTGGAGGGCGGATTTGTCGATGCTGCTCTTGGACAGCCCGTCCGCGACTATGTGTCGCGTGTCTTCCCAGCTGAGGGCCCATGGTCAGCCCGGGCACGGGAGGTCGCGGAGCCAGAACACGCGTGGCAACAACGAGTGTTCTGCCAGATGCTTTTGTCTAGAAGCCATGGCGGCTGCGAGTGCGCTCGCGGGGTCCAGGCAGAGTTCGATATGCGGTGCGAGGGGTTGCTGGCTGCCCTGTTGGTCACGCGCCGCTTCGGGGCAACGCGGGCCATGGGGCGCCTCGTGGAGCGGTGGCCATAGCGAGGCCGTGATCCGCCGAAATGATCGCGGCTATCAGCTCACTTGCGAAGGCGCTTCGCGCCGTTGTCTTGAGGGCCCCGCGCTGCCAACCCAGTGGGTGGCGCGCTTGTCGACCAACGAGCGCCCATTGGGCGTCCGCGTCTGTGGCGCCCATGCGCAGGGGGTTGGCTCCTCGGAGCGCCCGTCCAGCGTCGACGCCTTCTTCCTGGTCCTTTCTGAACGCTGCGCCGCAGCGGGCCTCTAATTTGCCCGCGCAGCGCGTCGGCGGATAGTGGATTCGCAATGGCGTGGCCTAAGCCCATCTCGCGAGAGTGTCGAGCTCGCGCATGCGGCCGCGCGTCGGAGCTGCCGCGTGGGGCCGGAGTGCGCACGCAAGCGTGCAGGTCGTCTTTAGCAATGATGGTGAAGGCAAGACCATAGCCAGACAGAGGTGCAGCTTGGCTAGACCATCGGGGGCGAGCTCAGAGATGGGCTTGCCCATGAGCTCGGCGCTTCCGATTGGTTACAGGGCCTGCGTGTCGTCGATCTGGTGGAGCAAATGTCAGCCGTTGTATATGGGTGGGTGGCGTGCATGAAGGCCCCCTCGCTAAATATCCAGCGCCCCCTTGCCAGATGCACCCTCTAAGCACTTGCGCAGCTGGACTTCTTCATGAGGCAGTCCTGTTACTCTAATGCAACAAACGTGCGTTGTGGCCAGCAGGACGAGCTCGCCATCTTCGTGTTCGGCAAGGAACTCGTTGTCGTGC